TTATTGTATTTTTAATTTTTATTTCTAATTTCTCTATGATAGAATTGAATTGTGGGATTAAACTAAATCAATATTTTGATTCTTTAATACATTAATGTAGTATGTAGAGAGATCCTGGGATTCATCTAAATTAGTATTTTAATTCAAATGGTGAATGCACATTCAGGAATGTTGTAAACCAATAACTATCAGATTTGATGAGTTTGGCTTCTCTTGCATACTTCAGTAGCTAAATTTTGTGACTTTCCTTGCATATAGTAGTGAAATGAGGTTGCTTCCTGAGAAATCGCTTTAACACCGACGCTAATGGCCAAGAATTTCTATCTACTTCATCATCTTACAAATATATATTTACCATTCAGCCAGTTACAATTGGGACAATATGCATTTTGTTTGCACTAGCCCTTCAACTCGCTCAAAATTTTTGGTCTCTTGATGCTCTCTGTTTCAGGTTTAACTCATGAGTGTCTCTTATTTCAAAAAGATCTATCTTATGAAAATATATATATCTACATTTTAGACCGAAAGGAAAAAGATATTTCGCAACAAAACAATCCCTTTCTTAAAGTCTTATGGTAGAATCACTCCCAGAATGAGACTACATGGAACCTGAAATCAGATTTTAGAGCTAAACACCCTTACTTGTTTGGGGTGTCGTAACAATTTGGAAGACCAAATTTTTTTTTTAAGAAGAGAATTAAGTTGTAATATTCGAATTTCTTTCAAAATAATTTAATAAAATATAGATTTCATTTTTGTACATTTTACAAGATTAAAAAAGAAGAGGTGAAAAACAATTTTTAAAACCTTCTTTTCCTTCTTCCCCAAGCCGAACCCTACTCATCTAACTTTGAGAGTTTTACAGGTCTCATTTTCTTCTGCAAAATCTTAAAATTTATGCACTTTTTCTTGGCGTCTGTTCCGGAGAATGAATTGATTTGCGAATCAAGCTGCCTCCCCCTTCATTGGACAAAGGTAGTCTTTTTTTTTTTCTTCCTGGTTATGCTTGTGTAAATTGATCTATTTTCTTTTGAAATGTCAATGTCGACTTATGCAACATGTATAATACATACTTAGTTGTTGAGTTATCTTTCTAGGGTTCAGCAGGAGAAATTTCTTTTGTTTTGCATATTGGTTTTTCTGGTTTGGTCTTGTCTTCTGGTTGTGGGTGCCAAATGGAAGTTGCTTCTTTGGATAATCTATTGATGTGAAATTTGCAATCTGGGTTCGTATTCTGGTCTGGAAGGTTATTCTACCTAAAATATGTTACAATTATGTAGTATATATGTATCTATGTATGTTTACCAATTTCCTGCCTAAACATCTCTTTTTAGTTTCTCCTACTCAAAATTTGATTTTTTTAAAAATTTTTTCCTTCTTTTTTCTAAGAAAAACAAAAGATGGTTATTCTACCTAAAAACTGTTTTATATAATATATATGTATCTATGTATGCATACTAGTTTCCTGCCCAGATATCAAAATTTGATCTTTTTTAATTTTTCCCTCTTTTTTCTTAGAAAAACAAAAGATGATTATGGAGGTGATGACCTAGTTCTAACTTCTCTCTATATGTTAACTCAAGGATGCCATGAGAATGTCCGCATACAATTTGTTCACTATTGAGTTTATGAAGAATGTCTTGAATTAATTAAATTGACGTTGAAAGATGATTCAAATGCCACCTTGTACAGGGTGTTCCATTTACTGTAGACTGCTTACTGTTAACAAGATCTACTTGTCTTTTTACTTTCTATACAGAAAGCACTCGCTGGTCCGAGGCGTATTAACTTTAAGGGTCTTGCTGGAGAGTATTTGACGCGAAGGGCCAGGTTGGGTCATGGCTCATGCCAGTACTCTTTGATATGTGCACTTAACATAGTTGATAGTTTATAGGCCAGAGAAATTTTTGCATATTGGCATACTTGGATGATTAATTTACTATAAGAAATTTATTGGCTCCCATCACCTTTTTCCCCAATATTACAATGAGATAAAGGGCATAAGAATTGGAGTTTACCAACATGGTGATTCTAAGTCTTCAATTGACAGCCTCTGAAGATAGAAATTAACCTTTCTCCTTCTTGTAGTTAAGGCTGCTCTAGATGATGGAGGAGGACTAATTTAAAAATGTATGGATGGAGACTATGCAAATTCCCTGCCTCTAAACCAGTATGATGTTCCTCACCAAATCCTCTATCAGTTTCAGGAGGTTCTTCCTTGGCTGCATAAGCTGCACTAGGTGTACTTGATACCAGTTCATCTTCCATGTTAACCTGACCCTTCTCGTTTTGTGATAAATTCGTGCTAGACAAATTTATCGACTCTAAACCAGTATGTCCCTCCTCACCAAATTCAGTAAAAACTTCAGGAGATTCCTCCTCATCCACCTCAAATATTTTCAAGTCAGTGAATTCTCCTTAAAATATATCATCTTGAAGTTTCCTTATGCTTTCTTGCAAGCTGCTTAGATCAAGGTCCTCTTGTATAATTTGACTAATTCTCATTTTTGCTTGTGTTATGTCTGGAACCTGCTCTTCATGAATTTCCTGATATAGCACAAGCATTAAGGGGGATTCGTCAGATTATACGAGAGAACCTTGATCTAAGCAACTTGCAAGAAAGCATAAAGAAACTTAAAGATAATATATTCTAAGGAGAACTCACTGAGTTGGAAATATTTGATGCAAATGAGGAGAAATCTTCTTAAATTTTTAGAGAATTTGGTGGGGAGCATTATACAGGTTTAGAGTCGATGCAATTTTCTAGCATGAATTTATCACAAACCAAGAACCGTCATGTTAACATGGAAGATGAACTGGCATCAAGTATACCTAGTGCAGCTCATGCAGCCAAGGAAGAACCTCCTG